TATAATTATTTTGCGATTATAAACATACCAAACACTATTAAAACTAATAATAAACCTACATATTCTTCACATTCTTTTTCCGCTTTTTGTTCTCAATAAAATATAAAACATATAACTAATATTCCATATAATCCTCAAAGACAAAAAAATCATTAAACATACACATTTAACTCTCAAAAACATTAAAACAAAAGGGGGAAGGGGTACGGTTCCTCAAAGATAGATTAAACCAGGGTCTACTACTCTAAATTTCATAAACATCAAAAGAAGATGACAATAGTACAACAGTTGAAAAACACTGGTCTCAAGGAATTAAAAAATCTGTTGATTATCAACCTCTATGGTGGAAAGATGGCAGTACTAACGTTTGGACAAAGGGATGGGCTAAAACGTGGGGCAGAGGCTATGCTTGTGTCTTGACAGAAAACAGGCAGACGACATGGGTACCAGACAGGCTTAAACCTGGAACGTAAGATGCCAAAAACCATGATGGATGCAATCGAAGTGGAGCCATGACTCCCCAGAGGAAGCCACCCCAAATATCCACCCCAAATGTCCCCCTTGGCGACATGGGGCCACCTAAAAAAAAACCCTGTGAAAAGACAGAGGAAACCTTGGCCGGACCAACACTCCAAAAAGGTCCGTAACCTTTTTTCTTGCTCTTATCTCCGCTTTGAACACAGTAGTAGGTGGCAGTACAAATCAATCATTTCATTATTGGGCATATGCACCCAATCCGCCTTTAAATAGAATCATCACCTGGGCGGATCCACCTTTCCCTATTTTTGTCAATGCCTCTAATTGGATGCCAGGACTGTATGATTATAGGGGACCTGTCTTTCCTGCAGAGGGGGGACTGTGTATTGATCAATATAAAGTAGGTACGAAGGGGCCACTTGTCTTTATAGGAAAAGGTCAACGTTACATCAAACCTCAAACACAGACCTGGCTGGTGTCTGTAATAAAACCTGAGGATGATCTTTATGTACAGTTATTTTTGGTACAGGCCACTACTTTTGCCTTCACTACCAAGTATCGGGACAATCCTCCAGATATGCCATTTTGTAAAAAACCAAAAGTATCCGATTCTAAAAATTGGGTACATTGGAAAAATTGTGGAGGCTCTTTTGGCTGCATAGTTACACGATCATCTTTTGGTCCTGTAGTTGACTGCAGCCCTA